TTATATTATTTTAGAAGGTTGATACTATGGTGGTGGCTTTTAGGGTTTCCACAACCTTAGACAGTGGAGATCCTGAGAAGAGAAGTGCCGTCCGCGACGATGGAGACGACTCCAACACAGATGACATCCAGCATCATCATGAGTAGCTAATTCCTCTCTTAAGGCACTGATGTAACCCAATCCAGTATTATGGTTTGATTGTTGTTAACTCTGGGATATCTTAATGTATATTATGTTTTTTATTATATGACTATGAGCAATTGAGACAACTCAATTGGATTTAATGTTTTAAATAGATTTCAAATTGTTATTACCTTGTCTTAGATATAACGATTTGTTTTCTATTCTCAACCTATCTTATTGGACAGTATCTGGCGGAGCCCTGCCGGACATAGGAATAGAGGTCATATAATGGTGTTCTAACGTTTTTATAAAAGAATGTTTTCATAGTCTATGCTTAGGACAGGTGGATTATTTGCAAAATAGTTAAAGTAGTTATAGTTAACTGAATTTTATAGAACATCTTTCTTTAAAACCCGAATTGAATGAATGTTATTGAGTTCAATTATTTTAAAACATAATTTGTTAAAACCCCAGAGTTGAAACAATTAACCATAGTATGAAGGTTGTGGTGAAGTCAAAACCCTAAGACCTTTATATGTCTGATCACTTTCGCTTAATTTTAGTTTAATCTCAGTTTTTAATCGTGACAACCAAACAAACAATTCCACCAGTTACTTGTAAACCATGTAAATTAATTAAAGACCGAATATAAATACTCATCTCCGAGTGGGTTCGACCCTCTCTAGATAGTGCCATCCTATAAGGATTTGTCCTATTGCGAGTGGTAAAATTTATAGACACGATAATTCATCACGGAGAGTTGGCCATATATAGCCAAATACAATCTGTACAATCAGAAAAAGAATAAAGTTTGAATCCCATAAAATATGGGATTTTCCTGACTAAATCAAGATACTAGCTAAATGAGGATTAGTTTCCAACTAATTACAAAGTCAATGATTTTCCCACTAATTTACAACTGTCCCAGTTTTCCTATAAATAGGAAAACTGTGACTTTCCAATAGAACACCCTTCTCCTAGGCTTCTTTTGGGTCGCACCAACCGTTACAAGTTTGTAGCAAAGTATATAATTGAAATATAAGATAGAATCTCTCTCAAGATAGATGTACAAATGTAAGCTCACAACTAGAGCATATATATGAATCAAATAAAGCTTAAATCTCGAAGATGATATGAGAGAATGAAATGATTTGAAATGAAAGATCAAATATGAACTTGAATGCTCTCAAGGATACTGTCAATTGTTATGTAATTTGTTTCTCAAAGTTTAGCTCATATTTATGTGAGAGAGGGTCAATATAGTTGGTAGAGGTGAGGTATGCAATGACATTTGTAGAGAGGTGAGGTATGCAATGACATCTGCAGAGAGGTGAGGTATGCAATGACATGCAGCATTCTGTTTGGGTATTGTTCACATACGGACAATTCATATGGTACTGTTTACGTATACCACTATTCATGTACAGTATTGTTGTTGTCCATAAAATGAAAACTGTTCAACTGTATAGTACTATTCATATGGTACTGTTCACGAATACTACTAGTCACGTACAGTACTGTTGTTATCCAGCAAATGAAAACTATTCAGTGGTCTGCTACTGGCTTTTGCACAGGATTATTTCACACAGCTTATTTCCATTGAAAACATTTAAGTAAGTGTCATTATTATTTTTATATGTTCATTTATTTTAAATTTACAATGTAAATAAGGAAGTACCCTCCATTTGGATTCAATAAAAATATAAGAAATATAAAATGTAGAAATTCAGTTTTAGTACAAATTAGGGTTTCCGACAGTTTTGATAAACTCGATCCTCCGTGTAAGCTAATGAAAAAATCCCATAAAATCAGTTTAGGCTATTTGAAGTGTAAGAAGTTATTATTTTGAAATAATCATTATTGCAAAATCTATTTTTCACACTTAGCCATTTTTATTGCAAAATCCATTTTTCACAATTAGTCATTTTTCATACTTAACCAAAAACACCGTTTTTCATGAGACACATATTGGGGTCCTAATGTTCTTTACCAGAGCTTTATATATGAGTAATTAGGTTCTAAGCCTTAGACTCTGATTTCTAGTGACCAATATAAATCATAAGATTAATGTGCATGGTCCTAGCATTTCTAGCCCAAGTGATGAGTTATTTCAAGGTTTAAACAAACTTGAACTAACTCATTCTTTAGCAGTGACTTCATGTGTCAATTATGTGAATGAAGTGCATAGTCTGTTGCTGATGGATATAGGAGCATATGAATGATGTGATGATATGCATGGTCATATAGATACGAGCTTCAAATGGATTTATAAATACCTTGACATTGAATCTTAAACACTCACCAACCTATCTACCTCTTTCTTCATGCTTTGTCCATGATCGTTTAAGCTTTGAGGTACTCTTGATTTCTTCATTTCTTTGAGTTGCTTGCTTACTCATTGTAGTCCAATATATCTTTGAATGGACTTTGCATTTGGCTTCTTGTAACTTCAAGTCTTCTTTGTATCTCTTTATTTTCTTGATGTGATATTGAATAATAAAATATTTGGAATGATCTTTATAACTTCATTGAGGTCACTCTTGAATGTGAATAATCTATATAACACTAAATGTAAACATTAATCCTTAAACACCATTAATGGTTTGTGATCATAAAAACATTTAGATTGTCCTTTGATGAAATCTTTAAGGTCAACAATTATTATTGTTATTGATAGTCTCACAGTACTTTAGTTTATCTTCTTTTCAAATATTCCTAAGATTTACCAATAAAGATTGTTATATAATTTAAGATAATTTTCTTGTAAATACTATTTTACAAAAATGTTTGACAAAAAAAGCTTCATGCAGTTTTACTAAACATGAGGGAATATTAGTTATTTTATTCAATTTTCTCTCTATTGAATTAATATTATAGATATTGTACTTGTATATATAAATAAAATAACAATGTGTTGCGATAACGACTATAATAATTATTACAAAAAAAGAGAGAGACTGTAATAATAACGAGCTTAAATTTTTGTTTCATAATATTTGAGTTTTTAGAAGTATAGTTAAAAGAATGCAAGTTGAAATTTTTTAAAATTTGATAGAGACACAAACTAATTTTTTTTTTCAAGTGTTTTTAAAAACATTTGTGGACCAACTGAAATTTTTAATAAATTTTAGGGAAAAAAATTGCAAATTAATTAATATTTAGGGTTATTAATAGAATTTTCAAAAAAACTTGGATGATTAATATATATGTTAAAAATATTTTTTTGGGGGTCAATTAAAATTTTTAAATATATTTAGGGACAAAATTTATAAATTAATTAATATTTAAGGATAATAAAAAAAATTAAAAAAAATGTTCGGGGGCTTTACTGGCCCCTAGCTCCGCCCCTATATATATTATATAAATACACACTTGTCACATTTAATTATTATTATTTTTTTTCAGTTGTAGATGAATACTTTAATCTTTTCAACATTCAGGTATTTGTTTGCACCAAAATTGAATATTAAAAGAGGTTTAGAATGTATAAGGAGTTATACTCTATATGTATACCATAATGGTATTTTTTATCTGCAACCCTATAATATATATATATATATATATAGTACTGATCTCTTGCTCCCGTGGAGCAAGAAATTTTTTCCGCCGGATTGATCATTTAAAGGCTGTAACATCGCCTCGCAGAGCTTAACTGGATGATTGTTGGTGGCTACCACATGTTTGGTCTAGGGTTCTGGATTTAGATTGACTTCGTTCACTTGCTTGGGCTGGGTATGTCCGGCCTGTTTGCGAATTTGCCCTATTGGGCCTCCTTGTAATTACTGTTCATTTTAATATATACATTTACCTTCCGAAAAAAAAAAAAAAAAAAATTTTGCACTTTCTATAGTGACCATTAGATTAGATCTAATGGTCACATTTCAAACCCACCTATATATATATTTTTTAATACAAAACCACTATCATTATATATAATTTTCAAATTTAATATTTACCACTACCCTAATTACAATAATAAAAGGGAAGTACCAAAAAAATAAAAATAGAAATTTGATCACCTTTGGAAATCACGTATCACCACCATTAATTCGAATTTTTGTTTTCTTTGAAAAAAATAAATTGTTAGAAAATTACATCTATCACTTAATAACGATAACAAAAAAAAATTATTTTTGATGATAATGAAAAATAATAGTAATGATAGTAAAATAATAGCAACACTAAAGAAAACACTAAGAAAAAAAAACAGGATATTGTGCAAGTTATTATGATATTGATGAGTAATTGAAATATGTTTACAACTAGTTAAAATCTGGAAAAATAATAATAATAATAATAATAAGGAAGATGAGACAATTTGCGACAAAGGGGTCTGAGAAAAATAAATTGAATTTTTAATTTTAAAATAGGATGCATTTAGGGATTTATATAATAATTTTTTAACACCTATAATTCTTTTTTTTCAAATAAAACTTTTAGTTGTGTGACATGATTTTCAGAAGTGAAGAGTGATAGTGGTTTTGTATTAAAAGGAAAGTGTCGAAATTTTTGAAAATAATAAATAGTGGTAGTGGTTTTGTGTTAAAAGGAAATTATATAGGTGGGTTTGGAATGTGACCATTAGATCTAATCTAATGGTTATTATAGGAAGTGCGGAAAAAATTTATTAATCCACCGAAAGTAAGAGATTAGTATTCTATATATGTATATAAATAGTTTAGTTACTATTTCATATTTAATTAGTTTTTTAAAGTATTTTGTTGTACACAGTTATAATTTTATAGGGGTACATTTTAATCTTTTTAATTTTAAAATTAAATATTAAGGAATTTTTATAATGTGTTTCGCTAGCCACCCTATCTAATTATGAGACATTGAGATTTATTTCTTTCGGATCCAAACTACAACTTTTACCCGTCCGGACTAACAGATCCACAACATAAGTTCTTAACCCCTCGCTAAATCCTCCACTTCCCGCTGGTTTTGCCGCCTCTCTGTGTTGCAAAATATGTACGGACAGCCTTTGCGCTTCCGCCCAGACGGTGGCGCCCGAAGAGCTCCACCACCGGCACAACCTCAGGTGCCATATCTCCCAAACCTCAACTTTTTTCAAAACCCTAATTTCTACCTCCAGAATCCCACAATCCCAAGCCCTGTCAACCAGTACCTCCAAAACCCTAATTTTTCTTTCCAAAATCCTAATTTTCCGATTCAAAACCCTAATATTCCTATCCAAAACCCTGTCTTCCCGATTCAAAACCCTAATATTCCTATCCAAAGCCCTAACTTCCCGATTCAAAACCCTAATATTCATTCAGGAAAAAAAAATACAAAAACTAATATTCCTATCCAAAACCGTGATCCCCCTCGCCATCGCTTCCCCGATCAACGGATTCAGTCTGAGACACCAAGGGTCAATGAAAGTCTAGAGAGGATCGAGCGTGCGGTTTCCAAGGGTCGCCGCGATATTCTTGATGCCGGAGAAAGTGTGTCCGCTTGGAAGGTCTCGCAGTCTGTGCTGTTGACGTTGCGAGCCGATTCATGGGAATCGTTAGGGCTTCAAATGAAACAAGAGCCGTCGTTTCAAATGCAAGAAGTGCCGTCTCTCCAACGCCTTATAGAAACAGAAGCAAAGGTAACATTTATTTTTTCCCTTATTTCTCTGCTTGGTTGCTGAGAAAATTTTAGGCAATAATGAGAAGAAAGTAACTTCATTACCTAAACAACAACAAAACAAACAAAGCCATTTCCCAGTTAATTGGGTCGAATCTGTTATTCCATTCCACTCTATCTGAGGTTATTCATACCAAATGTTATCATATCATTCCTTGCTAACTCTATCCCACTCTAACTTTGGTCTTGCTATTTCCCTAGCACTACCATTACCCTCAATGTTGTCCATGTCACTTTTCCTAATTGGCACACTTCAAGTCTTCATTACCTGGGATTCAAAAAATATAAATATGATTCCTGTCCAGATAAACCCCGCTCATCTCTTTGACTTTGTTGAATTATCTTCTTTATTTTATTTTTGATTTTTAGTAATATATATATTTTTAACACAAAATTCTAAATTATTCCAATTTATCATATTTTTACCAACTTACTGGGCAGCCACGTGTTTTTTTTTTTTTTTTTTGATAAACAAGAATTACAGAAAAATAAGACTCAAAATGAGTCAAACTTCTTGTTTCTTATCCTTTTCTATGTTTTCCATGTGATCAGGAGTGTGCCTTAACTTACACTATTGAGATTGGGGTATTTTTCCATTTCAATATCCTTAATTTTATAGTAATATATATATATATATATTTTTGTTATTCAGGTTAATTCATTTATCCACTGCTTTGTTGCGGTTCAGAGAATTACTTCATTGTATGAATTGGAAGTTGCAATTTGCAAGAGTGAAGGTGTAAAGCAGTTTGAGGAGCTAGAATTGGGTCCGTTGGTACGGCACCCCCTTGTTGTGCATTATTTTTCTTTGAGTTCTGACGTGACAGAACCGTTCAAGATAACAAGTAAAGCAATAGTCTCTTTTCTTTTGGAGTTCTTGGATACTCATGAGGGTGAAGAAATTGATGTTGAGGAATTTTTGGATTTTATTGCGAAGAAGAGATCAGTGATGTCCAGGGAAAAGCTTTGTGTGCGTATTCAAAGCTTGGGGTATGTAGTTCGTGTGTGCTGTTTTCTTATTATTGAAAGCATTAACAATTATATTACAGGGGATTTTGTAGAAAACCATGCCATTTAATGAGTTCATTGAGTGATGCTAATTGTATCCATGTTGTTCTTCTGAGGACTTAATGTTAGTGCTATTTGGCTAATTTGTCGTGTGAGAACACTTCCATGGGCATTGTTTCTAATTTTTTTAACCTAAATATCTGCAATGTTGAAGCACTAATTTAGAGGGTAAAGAGCAGAAAAACCCATTGTTATAACGTGTGAAAACCCCCAATGTTCATAAAAACCCCTGCATATTCTAAATTGAGCAAACAAGGATGCTTTGTCAATTTGAAGACTGAAATACTTAAAGTTCCCTAAGGCAAAATAAAAGTAAAAAACAAAACTATCTCTCTCCGGAGAAAGAATTTGGTGTTTGGTCGTTATCTCATTCTCTCTCTACCCCCGAAGAAGAAAAGGTTAATTGAGAATTTAGACATTGTTTTGAAGCTATATGTTCTAGATATGTTTGAAAAAGAAAAAGTAAGAATCTAATTTCCCCGAGTCTATATATACCAAAACTACCTCCAAAGTTTGACAACCAAATGAAAGGAAAACAATTCCCACTACACATTGCCTTATTGCTCATAGCCAACTATTTGTCTTCTCTCTCTCTCTCTCTCTCTCTCTCTCTCTCTCTCTCACCGTCTTCTATTTCTCTGTCTTTGCCATGAACATAAAAGCAGTGAACTATCTACGCTCTTTGTTTGAACCTAAGAAGCACGAATACGAACATGGACACGGGATATGGATATGATACGATACGGATACGTTGACACATTAAATTCTAAAAAAGTAGGACATGGACACGCTGTGGACACGACTAATTTTTTTTTTTCATTTATACATCTATTGGTGAGACAATCATAGAACTTTTATAAAATTTTAAACTATATACTAATGTTACATAAGTTAGAAAAAGATGTTATTCGAATATCAAAAAGAATATATTATATTATATATGATATTACAATTTGTTACGACAAAGAACCTTGAACCAAGAAACAATCACGAAACACGGGAGAAAAGTAAACATGCCACACACAAAAAACACAAAATTTATCGTGGTTTGACATAAGTCGTGAATGCATCCAAGGTGGAGATCCGACGAAAGATTTTACTATGGGAAAAGCAGGATATTACAAGTTTTAGCCCCCAAACCCTAGCTCTTGCTTTCACTTTCTTTTCGGCGATTTTCTTTTTTTTGATAAGTTTCTTTTCAGCGATTTTCCTCAGGAGCGATGCCCCCAAACCCCCAAAACTTTGGTGGGCTTGGCCCCACACAAAGCTCAATCATTGGGTTGAAAAACGGTTTGCAATGCGTTCCGGAACCAAATTCGGGCCACAACATCACACTATCTTATCTTTTTGGTCTTTAGAGGTTGAACACTTTGATATTTGTTTATAATGTTGTTTTCATGACTATTATGTGTTTGTTTTATATAAGACGAAGAGTGTATGATGTGTTGGTCGAGTGTCGGCCAAGTGTCCGAAATAATAAAATTTATTTTTAAGTGATGAACACGGCCATGAAGTGTCGGACACATGTCTAGGAGTGTCCATGGATTGTCGGCGTCTGACACATTGTCAGCAACCAACAGAGACACCTCATAAAAGTGTCTGTGCTTATTAGGTTTGAGCAGATGACATCTGCCAAGACTTTAATCCTCACTCAATTATCTTTCGAGTGAAAACCCCAAAACAAGTTCCACTGCACAACCCAAGAATAATCGGAATTCCCAAAAAATGGATTCGTTCAACACCGCAGATCTCGAAATTGAGAAGGTCAACGAGATCCTGAGGTTCCGTCGGATTCAAAAGATCACTGCGTTGCTCCCGTTTGTTGAGCTATGCGTTGTTCTGACCATGATCTCCAAGTTTTCCACTTATTTGGTTTTTTTTTTTTTTTTTTCCGGACTCTCCATTGAGTTTTTCCGGCAATTATCACTGACCCTTTTCAGTTATTGTTTCGTGTTTGTCGTTCGAAACGCCATAGTCATCATTATCTTCATGAAATCTGGACGTTACACAAATCAAGATGATTTCAAAAGCAACAACAAAATAGATCTCTACGAAGAGTATGTCGAAATCATTGAAAAGAATCGGAATATTAACCAAGGAGAAAGCAAGTATAAAAGTAAACAGTGTATGTGCGCGGATGATAATTCAGTTCGAGAGAAAGGAAGATTCATAGAAGTCATTTGGAGAATTTGAAGACTAGAAAGCTCGCCTTGAACTCAGGTGATTGACGATGGAGATGTACAATAAGAGTATGAATTCCGGCGAGAAAGCGGTGGTGACTTCGGACGAAATGAGCAGCAAGGAGTTCTGGCGGACTGTGGAGACTTTCATTGCCAGGCAACAGAGGTTTCTCATGGACGATAGCTTTCTTTGAGAGAGAGAATATAATAGAGAGAAATTTGAAAGAGAGAAATATGAGAGAGACCATAGAGAGAGAGAGTTTATGAAGGGTATTTTGGGGTCATGATGAAATTTTTTTTTGTCAAAATTGACGGTCAACAAATATTAGGGGGCAATTTGCACATATGGTTCAAATGTTAAGGGGTTATATGCTCATACTAAATAGGAGGGGTGTTTTGTGCACAGTTTTTTATATGGTTTTTAATTTTATTATACTTATAGAAATGAACTTAAAAGAAAATGATATGTTACTTATTTAATTTATCATTAACACTAACTAGTACTATGAGTGGTTTCTCATCCCCAAAAGAGGATGTGGAGGTTTTGAGTCACAATTGGGACTAAGTGGGTGTGTTTCATATTTATTTCTAAAAGGGTTATGTTGTTTATGTCTTCTAAGGTTTTGAGTCACTATAGTTTCTACTCTGAACGCAGTTTTAGAATCTAGAAATTTTTGCTTTTTTCAAAATCTCTAATGAGCTAAAATCTCTACCATTTAAAAGTGCTTTTTTGGTAATAAAACACATTTTGTTGCAAATTATTAAAATAAAAATGATTTTAAGTGGTTTAACAACAATCTCAAATGGGCTCTCATTGAGTCTGTGGGTTAGCAGTTCAATCGATAATCTCTAGGTTGAGCTGGTAAATCGGAAGGAATATTTATTCTAAGAAATGCATGAAATATAAAATTCATGGTAAAGTTAAGAAAATTTATATTAGTCATTGTAGTATAGTAGTTACTATTATTAGTTTTGAAACATTTAAGAATTAAGTAATGTGATGAGTTGATAGAGAGATTTCATTTTCCTTATAAATTATTTATTTTACATTTGAAAAAATCATATATACAGATATACATATGCATGTTTAGATTTTTCAGTTATGATAATATTCAGGCTTTTATATGTTTGTGCTGAATGATTTTATATGGGAGTCATCTCTGATTTTATATGTTCGCGAGTTTTGGAGGGTGACCCCCCTTTGTGTTTGATGGAGCCTTTGGAAAGAGCAGGATAGAAGATCCTTTGATGGGGAGGAAGCTCCCATTGGGGCGTTGAAGTTCTCTATTGTTTGTTCTCTTTTTAGTTGGGGTTGGGGGAGAAATTGTACATCTTTAGATGATATTGTGGACTTTTTGGGTTCTTTGGGTCCATAGGTCTTCCCCTTTCTCTCTTTTGGGTTTTGTACAGCTCTTGGGACGTGTTCCCCTTTTGAACGCTTTCTAATACATTTTTACTTATCAAAAAAAAAAAAAAAATTGTTTGTGCTGAATGGAACTTATGTGTTTGTGTTTTAGAGCAATGTACTGGATGTTTTGCATTTCCAAATACTAGGTTGAGCGCTCAACACTTTTAAATCATAATTTCTCTTTCTTTTGTAAGGTGGAGGGCCACTCCCCTTTGTCTATGGTGGGGCCTGTGGCGCGAGAGGAACATTAGATCCTTTGATGAAGAGGAAACTCCTATTTGGTCTATCAAATACAACATTTTATCTACTTTATTCTTTTGGGTATATGGGCGTAATTGTAAATCTTTGGGGGCATCTTTTGGATTTCGTAGATAGCTTTAAATTATAGTGGCAGCCTCTGGCGCCTTGTGTATTCTCTTGGGAGCTCCCCTTTTGAGTGCCTTCAATGAATTCTTACTTTGAAAAAAAAAAAAAAAAAAAAAAAAATCTCCTGTTTTCCTTCAACCTGGGCAGGTCATATGGAAGTTGAAAAACCCATACAGGTTCAACAGGGTTTTATGCAGTCTGTCTGGTCAAAATTTTGAGCTGGCCCAGTTCGGGGTGAGGATCACCAGTATACTGGTTCAGGTGCTCTGGCTGGGCAGGGTTTGATTACTCTGATTGTTCATTTTAGGTTGATTATCTAGGTTGATTTATCTTTTGAAATCATTGAAGTTTCTTGTGTTATGTTGCCTTTTTACATGAGCCTTGTAGTGAATCTGAATCTTTGTTCTTTTAAATTTTGGACCCCTTGGCTGAGGGCAATATGGTGGTATTTCATATAATGAGAACATCTCACTTCTCTAGTATTTGTCGTGGATGCAAGCTGAAAGCTATTGATTCTTTTCCAATTGAATTAATTGAATTCTTCATTTGTAGGATGCATATTACTATTATTCGGAAAGCAAGGAGACTTGAAAGTAGCCCTATAAAGAAATACATCAAAGGCTTGAAAAAGAAATCTGATAAGAAAAGCGGGAAACGCCCTCTTTTAACCTCACAAAAAAAGCAGCTTGATGACCGTTTTAGTGCCTTGTCACAGCGTATCAAATCATTTTCCTCTGTACATGAGGATTTTTGTGGCAAGCACGTACGATTTTTCTCATCAAGTTCAGAGGATGATGATAGTGATGATCATGTGGATGAAGATGACAAGGATGAAAAGGACAAACTGAGTGACTGCAAAATTTCATTGGAAAATACAAATTCTTCTGATCGATTGAGTAGCTGTCCTTATCCGTCAGCATCTGAGGAGATGACACGGCTTGGCTTGAAACTCGAGATGGATGAGAATCAACCTGCTAGTGGCAGCCCAAGGCACAACAAGAGTAACGGACAATCTAAAAACAAACGGAAATCTGAAAATTTAAGTTGCAGTGTCTCTGCACCCCACAAAGTGCCAAAAAGAGATAAGGTAGAACCACATCGCCTTTTGAATGAGAGTCAGTCAGATGAACTTAGCAGACATGAAGAAAATGATATTTTCCTTTTCGAAAATTCCATGAGGGTGTTCATCACAACATGGAAAGAGGCATGTCAGGAGCAAAGCGTTGCTGAGGTATGTAGATTCTCTTATTTCAGAATACATACAAGTTATTTGGCAGTGCACTCTATTGATCTGTATTTAATATTAGGTCTTTGTAGTATCTAATATTGGGTTGTCCTTGCAGTCCTCACACTGAATGAAATTTGTAGTAGCTAATTTTAGATATCTTTTATTTTGTTAAGCAAGATTGAGTTTTGTCTGACTTAAACCTGCTTCTAACTACACCATGGATCTCTGTCGTAGAGACATCTATGTACTCATTCCTAGAGCTCCAACATATCTGTCCTTCTACATTCAGTATGCGGCTGCATCAAGGTAAAGTTCATTAGCTACCTTCTGAGCAGATTTCCCCTTCCACTTATTAGCAGCCCAAACAACCAAATCTGATCATTAAAAGTGTTCCCAAGGAATCCACAGATAAACTGCAGAAGATGCATTAAGGGAAGGATTTGAAGAAAACTCTAAATTTCATCTCGGATACTTAACGTTCCTAGAACTGCAAGTTACAATATAAAACTTTACTTAGGCACAGCACCAGCTGGTATCATTGCACTATATGGCATTCTTTTTCCTAATAGTTTCCCAGGTTTTGGCAATTATAAATTTACCAAATGCAGTTGGGAGCCACGCCGCCACATATTTTCTGTGGAACATGGGAAAAGACTAGCAGGCATATCAATTTGCGGCTCCAGTAGTTTCTGAGTGATGGCAGTATGTTATACCTATTAATCTCCAGATATATAGCTGCAACATTTGTGTTCTTAGTGAGATTATCATCATCTATTTTCTTCTTAATTTTCTGTACAATTGGATTAAAGGGATGCCGCTTATGAATCCAAAAGAATCCCATTTGCCTATTACAAATGCAAATCTTGAACATGTATCCGACTAAGATTTTCCACAAAATTATGGACGTTCTTGAGGTAATTTGAAAATCCTTGATACTTCTAGTTTAAACTTTTAAGTTTGCAGCAGGTGCCCCTCAAAACAATCCCCTTTGTCAGTTAGAAGGTGCCACATGTGCCTATACACCCATAGCCTTATTTCATTCTACCAGATACTTCATCCTTCAACCCCCTTCCTTTTTGAGCCTTTTATATGATATTCCATAGTCCTTTACTCCTTTGTTCTTTAGCTCTGTCACAATCCACAAAAGGTCTTAGGATCTGTTAAATTGATACAAGGTTTTCTTTGGAAAGATGAGTAAATTTGCCTAGAAAAGCTGAACACTGCATAACATGGGCTTAGTAACGGTAGCCTCCCTACATACGATAACAAGTTACTTACCCATTATTGAACTCCACACATTACTAAGGTATTAAAAGTATAGAGTCATCGTCATTCAAATTTGTAGATATCACGGGGACTTCTAGGGGCTGTTGCCTGGTGTAGTGGTAATATGCTCGAGTTTTAAGTCTGAGAATGCATGTTTGAATCTTGAGAGCGGTGGCTTTGTGCAAGTAATGCATGTCTGTATCATATCTGCTCCTCCGAGCATCCTTGTTTAATGGGGACTACATAAGTTAATGATCCTCAGGGGGACTCCTTGATATTTTGTGGGTGAATCCTACTATCAAACACCAAATTGTTTTTTGGTAAGATAATGCTCAGTTATATCTACATCTGATAAAAACAAATTACTTCTCTATTAGAGACGAACCACACATTTGTTATCCTGAAAGTGGATGTTACGAGACTTGAATATGTCATCGTGCTTGTCAGCTTGAGTTTTTACCATTGTTCGATGATAAAAACTAAAATAAATATTAAAATAGTCTATAGATAGTGAACCTAAATAAACTATTGTATGTGTTAGATATTTTATTAGTAAATATGTGAACTTAATGATTTGACTGCTATGAGAGGGTTAGCTTAATCCTGACCGACTTATAATAGGTTGAGTGAGGGCAACACAAACCAAATTCACTTAATAAATTAGTCAAAAATCTCTACTCAAAGCCTTAAATTTTGACCAATGAATTATAGCGGGTTGATAATAAAAAATTGATTCTTCTATATAAGTGAGTAGTCAAAATGCCTTTGATACTTCTATATAAGTGAGTAGTCAAAATGCCTTCTCTTTCCCCACTCTCATTATTAAATTTTTATTTATTTTTTGATAAATAAAATGTATTAGAAAGTGTTCAAAAGGGGAACACATCCCAAGAGATATACAAGAAACCAAACAAAAAGCCCTATGGACTCAAAGAACCCAAAAAGTCCACAATCTCATCTAAAGATATACAATTTCTCCCCATCACCCAACTAAAAAAAGAACTAATAATAGCAAATTTCAGCGCCCCAATGGAAGTTTCTGCCCCATCAAAAGATCTTTTGTTTCACTTTTTCCATATCGCCCTCCAACAGACACAAGCATGGCCCCCCACCCTTTGGGCCCTCCAACCCTTGAAGACCGAAGCATAACCCAATGGATGCCAAAAAGACCAAAAATAAGACTCCAGCAATCATAAGCCATAGGACAATGCAAGAGAAGGTGATCCACACTCTCCATCATCCTTACACATACAACACCAGTTGACTGTGATTTGTCTTTTCTTTCTCAAATTGTCCAGAGTCAGAATCTTACCCAAAGCCGCAGTCCAAACTCCAAACAAAAAATGCCACCCTGAGAGGAGCCTTCGAACGCCAAACCGTCTTCCCACGGGAAACTAGAGCCATGAAAACCGGCGAGGCAAAGGAATAAAGAACGGGGACATTAAACCTCCCCTGAAGAGAAGGCATCCAAACCAAGTAGTCCCTTTACCATCCATATCCTGTCTATACAAAAGATCCAAAAGGCCAAGGACATCCTCAAGTTCCCAATCCTGCAAAGAACGCCGAAAACACACATCTCACGTTAGCCTTATGCTATCAAGCCGATAACAGTCCGCTACCATAGCATGTCTATCGGCAACAATCCTTAAAAGTCTTGGAAACAACCGAGACAAAGGGCAATCCCCACACCAATAATCCTCCTAGAACCGAACATCTCTGCCCTCCCGAACTTTGAACCTAATATGTTTAGACAGCTCGTCCCGACCCTTGCGAATAAATTTCCACACTCCCACACCAGCAACAAATCTAACCGGCTTGGAAGACCATTCCCCTCTCTCCTCCCCAAAGCGACACGCTATAACCCTCTTCCATAAGCGACGTCTCTCACTACCAAATCTCCATAACCACTTCCCAAGAAGCGCCCCATTAAAGGGGATCATCCTTCTAAGACAAAGACTACTCATTTGAAACGGCCTGCAAACATGTTCCCACCTCACAAGATGATACTTGAACTCCTCACCCCTTCTACCCTAAAGGAAATTCCATTGGAGATTCTCCAATCTATCAGCAACAGTGCACGGGATCTGAAAGAAGGAAAGGAAATATGTTGGGAGACTAGACAAGGTGCTCTTTATCAGATTGACCTTCCCACCCTTCGAAAGATACTGCTTCTTCCATCCGGCCAATCTATTCTCGAAACGTTGAATCACTAAATCCAAAACATCCACCTTCTTGGCCGAAGCACCCAAAAGTAAACCCAGATAAGTAATCGGAAAGGAACTCAGCCCACATCCTAGAACCGCCGCAATCGAAGTCACCCCCAGAACCTCCCCCACAGGGACAAGCGCACTTTTACCCACGTTAACTTTCAACCCTGACACAGCCTGAAAGCAAACTAGTACGCATCTTAAATATCGGAGTTGGGACACATCTGCATCATAGTAAACCAAAGTATCGTCCGCAAAAAGTAAATAAGAGGTATCCATCTGCTGTCCTGAATCCGTGCCCATCCTGAATCCCCTTATAAAACCCAACTCCACTGCTCTCCTCGTCAATCTGCTAAGGGCCTACATAACAATAAGAAATAAGAAAGGAGAAAGGGGATCCCCTTGTCTTAACCCTCGAGAGCTTCAAAAAAAGCCGGATAGGGACCCATTCACTTGAACAGAGAAACTAACAGAAGAAATACAAGTATCGATCCACTCACTTCATCACTCCCCAAAACCCATCCTCCCCAACAAATATAACAGGAAATTAACATGATCGTAAGCTTTCTTAATATCGAGCTTGCATCCTCAACCTAAAATTCACACATTCGCTGGCAATTAGAACAGAATCCAGATGCTGCCTTCCCCCAACAAATATGCATTTTGAGATGACACCGTCCAGAACCTTCCTCAATCTGAAGGCGAGAACTTTAGCAATAAGCTTGTAAATGCAACCCAATAAACTTATTGATCTAAAGTCCTTAACATCGGACACAACTTCTTTCTTAGGAATGAGAGCAATGAAAGATGCATTCAACGACTTTTCGAACCTCCCATTAGTTGCCTTTCCATTCTAGTATTTAACCTTGTGTAACTAAGAGCTGGAATAAGAAGGATCATTTTATGTGTAATTGCATGTCTTCTACCAAATGGGAGCTGGTAGAGATGTTGCTAACCAGATTGAGATATCCCATTTGTTGTTTGCAGATGACACTTTGGTTTTCTGTGATGCTGATGTTTCCCAATTCAGATATTTGAGGTGCATTCTTACATGCTTCCAATCAGTGTCTGGTCTTAAGATTAATGTTGGAAAGAGTGTGCTTGTCCCAGTGGGGGAGGTCTCCGATATTTCCACTTTAGCCACTGTTCTTGGGCGTGGAGTGGGTGCTTTTCCACTCCCTTATTTGGGATTACCTTTGGGAATCTCCTCCAGGATAGTGGGGACTTGGGATCCGGTGATTAACAGGTATGAAAAAAGATTGGCGGGTTGGAAAAAACAATATCTCTCGAAAGGGGGAAGGTCACTCTTATTAAGAGCACTCTTTCGTCCCTTCCCACATATTTCTTATCTCTGTTTCAGATCCCGTGCTCTATTGCTAAACGAATCGAAAAAATTCAGAGAGATTTTCTTTGGGGTGGAAAAGGAGAGGAGTTTAAGTATTATCTTGTTAATTGGGAGCAGGTTTGTAAACCGTTGAAGTTTGGCGGTTTAGGTATCCGGAAGTTGGTCCCTTTCAATAGAGCCTTATT